CAACTGATTTGATAGTAATTTGTCCACGAGATTAAGTTTTAGCCATGCTTCTTCTTTTTTAAGTTTTTTTTTTTTTAATTATTTGACCAGAGAAGGGCAGAGCGAATGAGAGAGAGAGAGAGAAAGAGAGAGAGAGAAAGCAATCCCAGTTCGGGACTTGAACCATAGTCGGTCATGTGGGAATCCAGCACCCTTAACCACCACACCATCTGCCGGCCCCTAGGCATGCTTCTTCTATAGCTCCCAACTAGATTTTAGCAATCTAAGAAGGGAATTTTGCATTTTTTTCTTTCATATATTCTTAACTACTTCAAATATGTTCGCTGACTGACTAGTCAGGATGTTACATTGCTTACACTCAATGGTGGTGGCCAAATTTTGGTCATTAGATTAGTGCAAATCCATCATTCTCTCATCAAATATTTACTGAGTACCTGAGATAGATTTATTAGGTGCTTGTGGAAAAGAAAACAAAAGATTTCTACTTTGTGAAATCTTTGTGTTTGACAATATTTTCATCAGTCTTAAGTTGAATGATTAAAATATGGACAAAGTTAGTTTTTCATAAAATTAAATATCGGGTTGTAGGAAAAGTCACAATGCATTTTTCTATGTTTTCCATGCAAAAATGCATTGTGACTTTTCCCATGACCCAATAAATTCCACTTCAAAATTCTGAGAGTATTACTTTCCTAACTTCTAGTCTTTTTTTTTTTTTTTTTTTTTTTAAGGAGAGATTTTTGCTATACAGCACATGCACTCGCTGGAGAGACAGAGAGATAGAAAGTGAGAAATCATCCCCAGGGGGGATGGCCATGCTGCAATCCCTTTTCCTCCATTCTCTTCTCAGGACTTTGTGCATGCATGCATACTTGCCTGAAGTGAGTTTTAAGTCACCGGGTCTGGGACTCAAACCACGATCAACTATATGGGAGTCCAGTGACATAACCATTATGCTATCTGCTGGTCCCCATCACAAATTATTACAATGCAAGTCTTGAACAAAATAAGAGAGATTATTATTTTGAAAAGAAATTAAAGAAATGAATTCAAAACTTCCTGGGTCAGTACTCCAACCCAGTTTATATGCTGATAAATTTTTAACTGACTTTCCAGATTTGTAGAGTTTGCCCTTTTTTTTTTTTAAGAGAGATTTTTGCTATAGGGCGTGTGCACTTGCTGGAGAGATAGAGAGAGACAGAGAGATAGAAAGTGAGACATCATCCCTCAGGGAGGATGGCCACGCCACAGTCCCTTCTCTTCCATTCTCCTCTCAGGATTTTGGGCACACACACACACACACACACACACACCTGGTGTGTGTTTTAAGCTGCTGTGTCTAGAGCTTGAACCATGGTCAGCTACGTGGGAGTTCAGTGACATAACCATTACAGCATGCGTTGGTCCCGAGCTTGCCTATTTTAAGCTATAATGCACTGCCATGGAAGGAGGAGTTAGAGCTGGCTGTAAGTAGGTCTTGTGAGCTAGTACCAATACGGGCCGGCTCCCAGTGCACAGTGCTTACCCACTTGAGTACAGAGCCAGCCGCACTACTACGCTCACTACAGAATGAAAGCAAAAAATGACATAAACAGGTAAGGGCTAGGGGAGCCAGATGCCAGCCCTGGCAGCTTGGAAAACACACCGAGTATGTGTATGTGTGTGCCCTGAATGCCAACAGAATGGAGAGAGGGAGAAGGAATTGCCATATGACCATGCACCTAGGGAGGTGCTTTCTCCTCTTCTCTTTGTTTTTCCATCTCTTTCTGTGGAGAGTGCATGCACCCAACAGCAATTTTTTTAATTACATAAATGGTAAAAACTCTTAAATACAAAAGACTTGTTACTTTTGTTTACATGGTAATAGACTACACGACAAGAAGATGTCTAATGGAACATTGATAAATGAATGCCAGACGTGTTGTTAACATGTCCAACGAATATCCCAAATAGTAGCACTTTCTTATAACCATCGATCTTAACCCTTAGTACTTTATTAGGATCTTGTTCTACAAAGAGAACAGACCTAGGAATCATTAGTTGGAACCATAAAATCTTACCACCACACGGAGAGAGGTTGTAAAGGCATCCCACTGCTGGCGCCTCCCACTGTTAGCTGTCAGGATGGCGTACTTCTGAACTACTCGCACATAGAGAAAATGGCCACATGGATGTTCACTGACTTGCTTGAGGCCTAACCAATAGGTGGCAGAACCAAGATAAAAGCAAAAGCTTTTAGGCTTTTTACTCAGCCCATCATATGACAGCAGACAAAACAGCAGTTAATAATATCACTTGTTCTTTTGCTTATAAAAAGAAATTCATTTGTATTCTCCCTGCCTTTCAACAGTTAAAATTTATTTTCTTCTAAAACCTATACATTAATCAGGGAGTTGTGTATGTGAATGGAAAAAAACAAAAAAACAAAAAACAAAAAAACAGCAACAACAACCAGAAGTCTTCATTCCTGAGATCAAGGGGACGAGGAAAACTTTCTTAAGCAAGACATGAAAGTGTAGGGA